CTAAGGTCTAACTCCTTACTCCTTAATCCATTAACGACTATATCTAACGAGATATCGTCTCTACCATACTTTATGGCAGATTTGACGTCATTGTAAGAGTCAGGGATGGCATTAAGTAACACCATGGGTGTGTAGTCATCTATGTGTTTATCACCGGCTTGCTTAATGTTCTGAATAAGCTTGTTAAACACATCTAGGTTCTCATCTATGTCTTTAGTCAGGTCAAGCCTAAATCTAAAGAACTTCTCAAGCAAAAACAATTTACCAGGCAAAGAAGTGTCGGTATACAACTTATCTAACTTGTCCCACAACTCTTTAGCAGAATCTATAATACCCACCTTCCTGAGCACTGAATCAGAAAGGTTTAGGTAAATAGAGGAACAAGCAGTTTCATTCATTTCAACGCGCTTGGCAGCATCCTCAGAGTCTAAATAGAGACCAGTCACAGCTCTATAGACTTTCTGTTGGATCAATACGCATTTGATTTTCTGTTTCCAGATATCAAAATCTGTCTTTCCGTTAAATGGAAGCATGCCATATTGATTGACAGCCATATTAACCGGAAAGCAAGCACAACACGCAAGAGAGTAAATAAAAATTTATCAAGCTATCAACCGGTACGAAGCAACTAGCACGAACAAACCGAGAAGACCAATGAACACAAAGCTCGGGTACAATCTCCTTGTTCTTTCGTACCGTACGAAGCAACTAGCACGAACAAGCCGAGAAGACCAATGAACACAAGGTTCGGGTACAATCTCCTTGTTCTTTCGTACAAGCACAGATAAAATTTTTTATTTAATCAACAGACATATAAATGATTAATTATAACCTACAGGGCTATCAATTGTACGAAGCAACTAGCACGAACAAGCCGAGAAGACCAATGAACACAAAGTTCGGGTACAATCTCCTTGTTCTTTCGTACAAGCGCAAATAGGCTAGAATTAAATCAACAAACAAAGAGACAGGATTTAAAACTAATCCGGACAGAAATATTTCCAACTTCGGATAACAAGTATCCAAACAAATATTCTTAACCGGAGAGTTTATCCACGAATCAATCAACAGAAAAAATCAAAATAAAAAATCCAACATGTGATTAAATTTAAACCGGAAGAAATATTCACAACTTTGGACAACGAGTATCCAAACAAAAATATTCTTCACCGAAAAAATTAATCACAAACCAACAAGTAACCACAATTTAAACAAACAAGTAATTGCAATTTAAACTTGAACTTAAAAATGAATGAACTACGAATAAATAATCACACAAAGGATTAGTAAACGTACCTGGGACCGGGCACAGCCGGCATCCAAGACCACGCAGGTCAGCAGCGGGGAGTGGGGATAAAATAAATCCGGTGGCACTCCGGTACACCAAGGGTGGTTAACGCCAATTTACCTGAGCGGGGCCCGAGGTTGGGTTACCCGACTTACCGTAGGCAGCGTGGGCTGCTGTAGAGCGTGTCGGCAGTGAACTGGACTGGCGGCAGAGCTCCGTGGCTGGCGGCAGCAGGTTTGGGCCGAGGCAGCAGAGTACTTGGACGGCTGGAAGCTTCTGGCAGAACTCCCTGGACCTCCGGTGACACTCCTGGACCTCCGGCGACACTCCCTGGATCTCCCGCGACGGCGTACGACGGCGGCGAGACGGCGGCGGGCGGCGGCTGGCTCTGATACCACTGTAACGTCTCAATATCCAGCTCAGGTCTCGTCAATTTCACCCACAAAGGATGATGAACAACTATAGTCTCAAGGTAGGGAAGTGTTGGCAACAACCTTCTAACTTCTTCCGGCCAAATCTACTTCACAAAGGGGTTGTGCGAGAATAGGGTTTTCAGCCATCCCCCTTAGCATCCGAAACAGGGAGATAAATAGGCAGCTCAATACAGAGAAGGTAAGATGCCATACAAGGAAAGCTTGAACAAGGAAAGTCATGAATGGCGTAGAGGAGACGAGAAGGGAGGCGAACAAGGATGATGTAAAAAGACTAATGGACCGGGTAATCATTAGATGTAGGTTGGGCTTATGAAAGAAATGGGCCAATACCTAACAATGACTAATACCTGTTACGAAGTATAATGTAGTGTCATGGTGACTTTATTTTAGTCATATATATGTAATTATTTCTTTATTATTTAACTTTGGCTTTTTTCTCATTTTGTCTGTGTTAGTGTTATAACATTACTGTCTAAAGAGTGGTTGAACATTTTTTGATTTATTTGCAAGTAACTATATGCTAATCGGGTTTTTAATTTATTTACAATTTTTTTTGACGAATATTGCTCCCATTGGGCACACTACAAAATATTACGGGATTGATACGAATTGGCCACTAATTCCATTCCAAATAACTCATGTCAAAATGTTTTTGACACAAATTTAACATATCTCTGCAAAATTCTCTATGAATTTTGATCAATTTTGTCAAAATTTCTTCCAGTTCTGTGTATTTTCTAGTAACGCGGGATGGGCGACGCAAATAGTAACAGGGATGAGGCAGGATGGGAGGATTTTTTAGATAAGTGCGGGGATGGGGAGTGAACCCACGCTCCAACCTGCCCCATTGCAATCCGTAAATGGGATGGAGGTAATATTCTTTAAAAAAAAGATGACACCCCATCCCTGAGGGCCCCCAACCTTGACCGGACGGTACGTTGGGAGGATATAAGTTTAAGTATAATCACAATCTGACAAATAAAGAGTGAGACTCTGTCCCGATCGATACTTGCAGATGCCCTGTGCATTTTTAGCATAGTAACCTTTCATCGCAGTTGTCGGGATTCGAATCCGGGACCTAATCCTTGTGACACTTCCTTGCTATCGGTTGAGACGGGGTAATATTCTTAATTATCGCATGAAGTGATCCAAATATTTGTTAAGCTCAAGAATACCACTGCCACATGTAGGTGATCCAACTCGTGTTCATCTAAAAGTGGGGTCCCGATCCATTCAACGCGGGTCGTGGCTTGAAAGTTTTTCTTGATGTTGATATCCAACGGCGGAGCTTTACGCATTTATTAACGTGGCATGATATCGCCCACCAAATAAAATAAAACATCTGGCCATCTGTTTATAGTACCATCTTTTTCAAGTGCTTATCTTCTTTTAAGTTCCATCCAAAACCAATTTGAAAAGCCACACTTCGAGTTTGAAAGCTTACTTATTTTTCATTTACGCATTATTTAGAGTTTATTTCCACCTTTAATCCTCTCACTTTTGACTAATCTGTTACTCCCTCCCTAGTTTGACTTACACACATTTATGTAAGGTAGAATTTTGTTTTGACTTTCTAAATATACCCTTAGTTTATGCTAAATCAAACAAAAAGTGAGTAAAAAGTAAGGGTAATATTGTGACTTTTTGATTAAAAGCGGGTTTCTTTTATAGAAATAATAACTTCTTTTTGGGACATCCATAAAAGGAAAGTGAGAACTTCTTTGCGTGAAGGATGTAGTAGATGACAAGTTGGTAATTAACCTTTTGAAGTTACGTTCCTACAAATAACAATTACACGACGTGGATACCTCTTAATTAATTAGAAAGTTCCATAATAAAGGTGTAAAACAGATGTTTTATCCTAAATTAGTTGTTTTGCATGTTGATTGTTAAAGAAAGATTGAATAAGTAGAGATTGAGAATACATATTTATGTGACAATTTAATGATTCTGATAGTGCAGTTTGTCCTCTTAGTCGCCATATATGTGACTAATTCATCTTGACCAGTCTCTTATATATTTCTTGCACAAAATATCTAATGTCTCATGACTCTCGATCATAAGGAGAAGTTGAATACTGCTTGCCAGGCTATCGATTGCATGGGTGTGAGTTCATAAGGCCTACACAAAATTACGTACGTAGTACTATATATAATGGGCCGGCTTAATTTAAGAAAAATTGAAAATATTGTTTTGTCAAATCTAATGCATCACAATTATAGTTGACCACTCGACTTAAACAAGTAATATCACGATAATAATGATAATGATAATGATAATGATGATGATGATGATCGATGATCGATGATGATGATAATGATAAAGAAATGATAATGATAATGATGATGATGATGATGATGATGATGATGATGATAATAATAGAGTTTTGGAATTCAAAAATACTATTTTCCTATTTTTATTCTCTAAATACGACTAATTGCATCCAAACTTGGAAAACATTTTCATGCTTCAAGTCAACTAATACCGAAACATGGAAGGAACTACATATAATTAGAGAATACAATGCAAACATTACAATCTAGTTTGGATCTCACACTGTTATTTTATTATTATTTAGGGCAATTTTTTCAATAAATACGTACTTTTTGTGTTTTATTTTGATCTCCGACCGATTATTGAACCGAACAAGTTTGCTAGTTGTACACATTTTACACTCTTATACACATTGTCTGTAGTAGGTTTTCTTGTCATAGACGGTGTGTATACACTACAAAAAATCTGGGAAGTTGTCACGGATTTTGTCACAGTCAGTAGTTCAAAAAAATCTGTGACAAAATATTTTTGTCTCGAATTTTGTCACGACCTACATCCGTGACAAAACGGACGTGACAAAGTTTTTGTCACAGATCCGTATTCGTGACAAACATTGTCACGGATTAGTCACGACCGTCTTCCATGACAACATGGTCACCAGAGCATTGTTCCGGGTTATTTTTTCCATTTTGCCATTTTGTCACACACAAAATCCGTGACAAATATTTTAAATTTAAACAAAAAAAATATTTTTTTGTCACGGACCTAATCCGTGACAAGTCTTTTTTAATTCTTTAAAAGAAATTATTTACTGATTTTTTAAACCGTTGAATTTTAAAAAAAATTGTCAAGGAACGAATCTGTGACAATCATTTTATATTTTAAAGAAATAAAATTTAAATTTTTTACTGCGGACTTAAAATAAAAAATTCAAATTTAAAAATTCATTTAAAATTTTATAATAATTAAACATTATTATAAAAACAATTCATACAACCACAGTATGAATAAACATTATATAATAATTAAATAGAAAAAACAATTCATACAATCACAATAATTTAATAAAAATTCAAATTTAAAATAAACTAATTATTACAAGTTTGTATAGTCATCAAAATCAGTCAAGAATCATCATTATCATCGGGCTCTTCGGGCTCTTCGGGCTCTTCGGGTCGCCTGCCACCACGACTGTCTTCTCGTCTGCGTCCTCTGTTGCCTCCTCGGTCGCCTTGACCTCCACGTGTCTGAAATGGTTGATAATAATATCCATATGAAAAGGGGCCGGGCAACTGGTTATAACTAGGGAAACCCATACTGCCACCCATACCGCCCATGAAGGGAATTTGAGGGGTCATCTCAAGGTGCATTATATGCATGGGAGGCCGATATGTGGTGTTGAATCGATCCATTTGGCGTTCCATCTCTTCCAACCTCTCCCTTATTCTCCGGCCCTCTTCCCGTCCTTTCGCCAATTTTTTCTCCAGGCGGGCAACCCGTTCATCATCCACCGGTCGAGAAGATGAACTAGCTCCTTTGGAGTTGTGCAAAATCCGTACACCTTCAGCACCCAAGCACGGAACCCGGCCCTTGTAAACACCAACAGCTGCCAAAATGGCCTCATCATCTTGACGCTCATCGAGTTCGTCATCCGAGCTACTTAGCTCGGCCCGTTTCTTCTCTATCTCTTTTTCATACTTCTTCTACAAGTTCAAAAATTTATTATAGTTAAGTTAAGATAAAATTTATTTTGGAATTTATTGAATAATTGGAGTTACGTTATTTACTTCAATTTCAGAGATGCGAGGTGGCAGCGACTCATCACCCTTCGTCCAACAATGTTTGATTAGGGCCCATTTTGTGACCTTCATTTTCACAGGTCCCGACCCTTCCTACACAGTTGTCAAATTAATTAAAAAGAATTATAGTATATATATGAGGGGTTGTAATGGTACCAAGTTTTCATGAAATAGAGTTACCAGATCTTTTTTATGTTGATCATGGGGTTTGCGGCCCCCGCGCCATTGTAACTCCTTGGCTTTCTCAGAATTCCGGTTTTCCTTCCCGGCTTGGCTTCTCTTCAAAAATATGGGATCCGTAGACCAATGACGAACAAGGTTCTCCCAAACATCATCGGAAAGGAATCCGGGCTTTTTACCTCTAGTTCGGGCGTTCCTAAAAGTGGGTCTCATCCATGCTGAGATTCTGGAATTATATGCTTTGAGAATAGCCTCATTTTGCGATTGATTCCATCGATGTTGGGACTTCATTAAAAAATTGATATATCATTTGTTAACTTTAAGTTACTAAAATGTAAGAAAAATTATCTATTTTTACCTTGAACAACGACCACCAAAGTTCACGGGTGGCCGCCGGAACCTCCATGTAAGTCGCCCAATCGCCCGTGAAATGCCCACCAACTATTATCTTGATTCTTTTCAACACCTCATTATCGCTTCAAAAAATTCATAATTGATAAAAATATTTATGACAATTTATAGAATCATCGATTACGTTCTTTCAATTTAGAGAGAGTTTGTAATTAATTAATTACCTATGGATCGATTGAGGTGTCACCCAAAACGCAGCGTCATTGTTGCGTTCGGCTTCAGTTTGGGGGGCAAATGCAGGGCGAGATGGACCTGCACGGGAGGTTGATGAACCTCCACGTACATGCGAGGTGCTTCCACCGGCATTAGATTGTTGTAATAGAGGTGTTTGGGCGTGTCCGCCATCATCATTGACATCATCATTGATATCAAGGTTCGCACTTGAGGGCCGTCGTGAATTTGAGCCACCACCGCTAGGGGAAGAGTGGGAACGAGGAGATTGTTCACTCATCTAAAATGATTTATGTATATTTTGAAATATTAGTGTGATAATAGTAGAACATTATAACTTTTAAAAGTTTTATTAAAACAGTGTATTTTTTTATTAATTTTCTGGAAATAATATATATAACATATTAAACTGTGTATGAGTTTAATAGGAGGGAGTCGAAATTTTTTTAATTATTTTTTTATAACTTTGTAAGAATACATTTTTGTATTAATTGCACACAAATGCAACAAGTTCAACTTTTTGGGGAATTGGCAAATTTTGCATGAGGGGGGATATTTTTTAAAATGTTTGATTTTGAAAATATATATAACATATTAAACTATGTGTATAAGTTTAATATGAGGGGGTCAGCATTGTTTAAAGTAATTTTTTATAACTTCCGAAAAACAATCTATTCCATATTATTTATCAAAAATAGTTTTTGTACTTGTAAAAAGAGTTTAATATTTTGCATTATTTTGAAAAAAACAGTATAATTTTTTGTAAAATCAGTTTTTGTATTAATTTTAAAAAAAAAAACAGTTTAAATTTTTGTATGTTTATTATTATTATTATTATTACTATTATTTTTATTTTGTATTAGTGTTTACCGGTGTAGTGTAACTTAATTTTTTGATATTGAGCTATATGTCTAATAAATCAGTTTATTAGAAAAAACTGTTTATTAATGTATTAAACTTATAAAATCAGTTTGTATTGAATTAACCTTTTTGTATAAAATCAGTTTGTATTGAATTAACTTTTTTGTACTAAACTTATAAAATAAATTTTTATATTAAACTTATAACATCAGTTTATCAAATTTTTTTGTAAAATCAGTTTGCATATTTATTTTATCAAACTTATAAAATCAGTTTTTGTATGAATTTATAAAAACAGTTTATTCACTTTTTGTATTTTTTTGTATTAATTTATACAAAACAGTTTATTAACAACTTATTATTAATTTTTGGTTTTGTATATTACTTAACCAGTTTGTTAATTTTGAAAAATAGTTATTAAGTATACTGTTTATTTTTAATTTTTTGTTTTGTAAATTAATTTCGAAAAATAGTATAATCTTATTATGAAAAACAGTTTATTAAATATACAGTTTTTTATCCGATCCAAAAAAATTACTCCCTCCGTCCCTAAAAGGATTGCCAAGTTTGACCGACACGTAGAATAATAAAGTAAAAACTGTGCGGTAGAGATTTGTGAAGAGGAGACAGAAATAACTGGAGCCACAAATTGATTGATTAAAAGGGAAAGTGACAAAGTTTTTGGGACAACCGAAAAAGGAAACTTGGCAAAGTTATAAGGGACGGAGGGAGTATATAGTTTATCATCAAATATGATTATTTTTTTTGAATTAAACATGTTTTACATTTTTAGAAGTTTAACATGAGGGGGACAATTTTTGTTAATTAATTTTTAATATCATTTAAACTATATCTTTTGAATAATAATATTTAGAGTCGAAAATTGACAACAAATAGAGCATGCATTTTTCACGAAATAGAGCATGCATTTTCAAGAAATAAAGCATGCATTTGAGTATATAAAAATATAAACGACGGAATTTTAAAACATTACAATGATTTGAGTATAAAAACATGCATTTGAGTATATAATTATATAGACATATACACATATTGAATGAATATAAACATATAAATATATAATTGAACAATAAATATTAAGGGCATCCATTTTTGGAGAAATAGAGCATGCATTTGAGCATATAAAAATATAAACGACAACATTTTAAAAAATTTACAATCATTTGAGTATATAAACATGTATTGTGTGTATAAACATATAAACATATTGAATGCATATGAAAATATAAAAATATAATTGAACACTAATAATAAAAACATACTTCCCACTTTCCTTTTTGGGCTGTTCCCAAAAATACTTTCCACTTTCTCATTTTGGACAATTTGTGTGGCTCACATTCATTTTACCTTTTTCTTACACAACCACAACCATACATTTCCACTTTATTCCACTTTCTTAATAAGCGTGCCAAGTCAAACCGGGAACGGAGGGAGTACATTTTTTGGAATTTTAAAATATTTACAATCACATATACGAATGAAATATAATAAAAAGTTCGACACATAACCTTGCTGAAGGAGAAGATGACGTCAACAGGAGAAGAGTGGCGACTTCGACGTCAAAGGACAGCGGCTGACGACGGAGAAGGACGATGGTGGACGGCTGTCTAAGAGGAGTGTTGAAGATTTTGTAGTGTCTGGGAGCGTATGTTGAAAATAAAGCCAAGTGTGCTTTATACTTCGTATATAATGGATTTGTCACGGAAATGTCCGTGATAAAATCCGTGACAAATTTGAATTTTGAATTTGAAAAGCCTATCGAACGTAGAGAAGTCAGTAGTGACAGCGGAGATGTCAGTGACAGAGTTAACCACGTTTTACTTTATCACGGACACTACTGTTTTGCTTTTTCAGCCATGTAACCAAGGTACTATGTGAACAGATGACATTCGAGGTGCATGTTTATTACGTAGTACACAGGTATTTGTTAAACAAGTCTTTCAGCTCTTTTTTGTTCAGCTAATGTATCATGAACTTGTATATAACACGTGCAAAAGCTGGTATTACTCATAATTGTATCATTTATTAAAATGTGTTAATATACGGAGTACAAGATAACATACAATGATACAAGTTAAATTTAAATTTTTTCACTTATTTACATGCATGTTTTGTTCGGGAAATGACCTCCCTCCAGGTTTTACGTATTATCATGTAGATCCCTGCACTATTAAAAATACACGTTTACCCTCCTCCCTCCAGATTTTACGTATTATCATGTAGACTTCTGCACTATTAAAAATACACGCTTACCCTCCTTTCAGTCCTTTAATGAATGTTTAATAGCTCCTAATTACGTTTAGGAAAAGTATAATTTTAGTTTTATAAATTTACTCACTTGTATATTCAATCTAATAATTACTCCGTAATAAATTTACATGTATTAAGAATCTTTCCACCATAAAGTATTGTTTTTGCGGGAATACGTACTTTCCGATGAAGATCTTTTAGGAGACTATTGTTACATATTGTAAATTTGTATGGGAAATGCTTACTTTTGTGGTTTATATTAGGGGAGGACAAGGCCCGATCTCAGGAATGACCGATTTTTGAATTAAGATTTTAGATCGGGACTGAGACCAGTCCGGTGAAAAAGTGACCTCAGGCACCAGTTTTTGAGACCGAGATTGGAGCCCATGTTTTGACCCCGTTCGTATTTTTTCATTAAAACCATTGAGAACATATTAAAACGGGTTATAGTTCATTTAAAAGTTGAAAAATAGGTAGTCAGAAATATTTAAATTATCGAGAGTGAACCTAGACCAATTAGGGGATTGGAACCGAATATAAGGTCATGAGATGCCCTAATTATTTAGCACTAACCAGCTTGAATGTGAAACCTGCCCTAAACTGAAATGACTTTATCAGTATTTTACATGTAAACATGTTCATATTCGGTAATATATTAATTTACAAGTTCTTATTATACCTATAATGATCTCATTTTCAGTGATAACAAAGAGCGTCGAAAGTGCAAAATTGGGAATTTTCCAGAATTCAATTTTTAATGGTAAAATCGAATAATAAACTTCACTTTTGAGTTGGTTTGGTTCATTTAAATTGATTTGTTTCAAATTTTGTCAAATTTAGCATATTTTGGTCATTTTCATTTGAGTAAATTTACTCACTTTACAAATTAAAAGGCTTAAAATGAACTATCTAGATTGAGGTCAGTTTTGATCATTTTTTAACTGGTTCGACTTCCGATAGAAAGGTCTTTAGTTTTGAAAAAAAATTAATTACCCGACCAGATTTATGAATGAGTAAAATAATAGTATTAAAAGCGGATACAAAGAAAAATTATGAAATTATATCTATAACTTTCTCTAAATGTAGATTAAAAGTTATTTAATCATCATTAAAGGATATGGAGGGGGTAAGAGTATTTTTTATAGTGTGAGAGCCGTGGCGGATCTGCCGGGGGGCAAGAGGGGCCGGTGCCCCTGCTTCGGCCGTGAGAGCTCGGGTACAAGTAGGGCCGCCGTAGGGGTTGGCCGGGGAGCCATCGGACTAGTCCATTCCATTGTTTCCGGCATACTGGACTGTAGTTTTGCTTCGGGACTCAGGAGGACATCCGTTGTTGGACAGGGACGATCGACCAAGGTTAGTTTTTCTTTTTTAAAGAAACGACGTCGTTTTGGATTCCAACTGAAAAAATAAGGTCGGTCCGGGCAAGGCAGGCCCAGCAAGTAATAGCCCAAACGAAGACATTAGGCAAATCCGCCCTGGCCGCGCAAGCAGTGAAGCTGTTCAATCCATCGCATTACTTCAAGACGACAATTATTTGCAATCGGAGATACTGAGACACAGAGCATTCGACGACCTCCAGAGCCTAGGCTATAGGTCTCTAACTCTTTTTCACTTTATTTACACCTTTTAGTTGTATAGTTTTTAAATAAATTTTTTAGCTGATTTAATAGTTGGTCGGCAAGGACATATTGCGCAGGTTATTTTACTCCATATAATATTATTGTATTAAAATAAATTAAAAATTGAATTAAAAACCGCATATATAGCTATATGAGTATAAATTGTTGATGTATAATTTATTCATTTGGTCAAACAACACAATAACTCGTTTAGTTGTGTAAAAATAAATAAACTGGTCATAACAATTACTTATCTCAAAATGGAAGTTATTAAAAAAAATTATTCGATCAACAATGTCTGAAGATACATTATCTGATTTGCAAATTTTTCTGTTCAAAAGTTAGCAAAATAGGCTATTAGAATATTTATATTTTTCTATATCAATTTGGATCTTTAACTTTCAAAGAATCTTCTCATTACGTTCATAGTATTGGTTATGCATTTCATGTAATTTACTTCTATATAATTGATAGGCTGAATAAAATATATTAAAATAAAATGTTTATATGACCGTGCCCCCGCTTCAATTCTTTTCTAGTTCCGTCACTGTGTGAGAGTGTGATTGATAATGCATCAAACCTCAAGGGATGTCAATGATAAATTCCCTTGTTCAACACAAGTTTCTATCTTTTAACTTCTGTGATATTTAAAATCTTTGGTATTGTATCTTTGGTATCACATCAGAGAGAAAGTATGTAGTTCTTATCGATTTAATTATATTAGTCACAATAACTTATTATACCAAATAAAACTAAATCAAACAGTCATTTTTAATAAAAAAAACAATAACATTTTTCTTTTAAAATCTTTCCTGTCACTAAACGCTCACAGATACTAAAGAGTTCATAAAAGTACAACTTGTTATACCAAGTACTTTGTATAATTTAATCAAACAGTTAGTTGTATGTTTATCAAACACCTACACCATATTTTTTAACATTTTTTAAATCACTAAACGTTAACTAAGGAATTCATAAGAGTGACTAATATGACAAGTTTAAAAAGGAAGTCATAAGAGTCACACGGTTTGGTATAGATTTGTTTACCAAATAAAAAAATTGAAAAAGTATGACAAACATTTTGGGACATTCGTTTCGGGAAAGTGTGACAAACTTTAAGGGACGGAGGGAGTAATATATTTAAATACACTGTTTTCATCATAGGGATTAGGGGTGGGCATTTCGGTTTTCGGTTCGGTTTTCTTCGGTTTCGGTTCGGTTTCGGTTTAATCGGTTTGATAGAAAATGTACCAAATACAAATCGATCAAGTTTAGGTTTGGTTTCGGTTTGGTATGATTCGGTTCGGTTTAGAGTTCGGTTTACCAAAGTATTAAGGTTTGGATTGAAAAAAAAAATTAACTCAAAATAATGAACCAAGAAACGATAGTAATGAATCAAATATAATGTTAGATATAAATTTTCAAACACTAACAAAACACATATGAATCAAAAATATATAAGCATGACACATTTGTAAGCAACAACAACAACGGGAATGAATCAATTTATATATAATGCCGAAACAAAAACAAAACTGGTGCTTGTAAGTAATGAACCAAATATATAGTAGTAGTAGATAATAAATTATAGCTAAATACTATCTACTTAAACCACTATAATTGTTATAATTGTGCATGTAACTCTTGTAGTAAACTCTAGTCCTGGACACTAAAATTAAAGAATTAAAGCATCAAAACGATTAACATCAATCAAATTAATAAGAGAAATCTTATATTTTGGTTTGGTTTAGTTTGGTGTAAGTTTGTTTTGATTTGTTATTTTAAAAAAATAAGAAATTATTTCATTTTTAGATTAGTTCGGTTCAGTTTGGTTCGGTTTAATATGGGTTGGGAGCAATACTACCAAACTCAAACCAAATTACAAATGGTTCGGTTTAATTCTGTTTGATACGGTTCGGTTCGGTCAAACCGAACCGTTATGCTCACCCCTAATAGGGATATTGTTATCAATAAATCAAATGTGCAGTATTGCAATTCAAAGACAAGTAGCACTATTGTATTACACAATAGCCTACAAAAGAAGCAAATCTTTATGAGAGCTAATTGATATACTATGAAATCAATTCAGGAATTTTATTGCTACACTGAAATGATGGGTTGGATATCAAAAATCATATGACGTGAATGATTTGAGTTTAGTTCTATCCATAAATCACATTTACTTTTCTACTAAGAGTAAATCATTAATCAATAAAGTTAATCGTGTCAAAATAATAGGATGTGGATGTTGTAGGCCGATTATTGGTCGCAATCTTTTATTGAATGCATATTCCCATATTATACTCCGATTAACAAATCAACCGTCCGAATGGTCCGATATTATGAGAGAGTTTGCAAATGATTTTGTTTTAAAAAACAATTTTTTGAATCGATTTTGGAAAAAGTGATTAATAGTAAGATGGTGTATGAGAAAAAAGTGATTTTGAAAAGTAAAAGTTGGTAGTATTTGATAAAATATGTGTTTTTTGTAATTGAAAAAGTAAAAAATAGTGTTCAACCAAAAGTAGAAGTTGTCACTTGAAAACATCAATTTAGGCCTTTAAACCAAAAGCTGAGAAACGTTTTTTTCAAACTTTTGCAAACAGACCCTATATGTGATCTAAATAATTCAAAAACTCTGACAACCATTCTACCAATCTACATTATGTTTCAAGAGAAATAAGAAATATTTCTTCCGCCCCACTAAAATTGTTCCGTTTTACATTTTCGGCACGTCCCACTAAGATTGTTTCATACCAAATTTGGTAAAGTTTTTGC